TCAGAAATATTGAGCACTAAAAGGTACCCAAAAGATTTTCTTAGAGTTGGAAGGGTTTTTTTGAGTTTTCGAATAGGATCCCAGAGCAATAATTGATCAATATCAATAACTAAAGATTAAGAATACCCAACAATGAATAGCTTTGAATAATCGTGAATAATAGATTTCACCAAGTTCGCAAGTCTGGCGTGGATATGCAAGTGATGAGAGAAGAGACGAAGAGGGAAGGGTCGAGTGGCCCCCTCAAGTCTCTCTTTCCCCTCCTTTAAACCCATTCTCCTCCCAAAATCGTTCAATCTTTTCCTTTAATCTTTTCCTTCAATCTTTTCCTTCAATCCTTTTCAAGAGTCAAGAGTCAAGAATACAATAACATCAAGGCTATCCATAAGTGCTTTTTCTCTCTTTCAGCTCTTCCAACTCTTTCCAAAAGTGGAACGAACCGCTTTTTCTTGACTTTTACTAGCCTACTTACTAGCCTACTTACTCGTAAATTGCTCACTTTTGAGGTGAATTCGATCTTTGAAATTATGATTTGAGATTTTCGAATGTTTAGCTTACTAACAATAAGCTAAACATTCCAAAATTTTCTTTTGAAGTCTTTAGCTTTATTTACAAGTGAGCTTGACTACAAAAGTCTGCCTCCAGTTGAATCAAATCAATCAATCAATCATTTTAGATCATTTTAAAGCTCAATTTGAAATGCTTAAATAGATTTCAATAGCTGTTTATGTTTACGAAAGAGTCCTGGGGAAAAAGTCAAGGACATGCAAGCGATAGACTGATAAAAAAAGCTCATTAATCATCTTTGTTGATCTTGAGCAAGTTTATGAAAAGATCAGAAAGATCAATTGTAAAACAATTGTAAACAAGATCAATTGTAAAACAAAATTCTTAAGAAAGGCTTCTAAAACACTGCCAAACCAGCTCTTTGAAGTTTGCGTGAATGGTTTCCAAGAATTCTTCAACTTCTTCTTTCAAAAAACATTCCCCTGAACGCGAGCATTCGGTTTCTTGCTTGCTCGTATTTTTGTCTTTTGTGCGTCACCTGAGACGCGACGGGCAAGGAAAAGAAAAGAAAAAGGGACACGTGGATCTTGAAGAGAATCTTCAAGGGGAAATACAGGAACACCTCTCGGACATTCGAAAAAAAAGAGAAGCTGAAAGGAGAAAAAAGTTCCGATTGGTGGAATCGGCAGACAACACTCGAAGGGATCCTTGAAGAGAAATGGGAACAGATTCCAAGGAAAGCAAATGATGGATTTTAGCGGAATTCGAGTCATTATTGAAAAGCACAAGGTAACAATCTTTGTGTTAAGTTCAAAAACACTGTACTTGGTTCGATTCTGATAGTAAAATGTTGCACAAGTACAAGTACAAGTTGTACAAGTACAAGTTGCACAAGTACAAGTACAAGTTGTACAAGTACAAGTACAAGTTGTACAAGTACAAGTACAAGTACAAGTTGTACAAGTACAAGTACAAGTTGTACAAGTACAAGTACAAGTACAAGTTGTACAAGTGCAAGTACAAGCTGTACAAGTACAAGTACAAGTTGTACAAGTGCAAGTACAAGCTCTACAAGTGCAAGTACAAGTTCTACAAGTGCAAGTACAAGTTCTACAAGTGCAAGTACAAGCTCTACAAGTGCAAGTACAAGTTCTACAAGTGCAAGTACAAGTTGTACAAGTACAAGTACAAGTTGCACAAGTACAAGTTGCGAATACTGAAGAAATATATCAAAAAGATATCAGAGGTTTTCTTAAGAGATATTGGAGCTTTGTTCTAGATTATTGGTCAGAGTTTAGCGAAGGTAGATCGTTTCATTTCTAAGGCTTATTTTGGAGTTCTATTTTGAAAGTTCTCTTTGGATTTAAGTCTTCAAATGAACATCCAATTTATGGCCTTTTCATTGGCTAAAATCTTAAACTGACTATGAGAAAAGCTTTGTGAAAATTAACTTGACAAGTTCGATCAATTTTCGTATTTGATAGAAAAACAAGCGAGAAGGAAGTGCTTGTGAAAGCACTCCAAGAAATCAGATCCAGAAAAAAGCTAAACAAATCTTCAAGATGGTGGGGAATTTCTGATTAAACAAACCATTTCTAGAAAAGTTGTTCATCTAATCAAAAGCTCACGAACAATTTGGTTAATCATTAATTATTAATAAATAGTTAATAGTAAAAGAGAAGAAGCAGCCAGCGACTGAGCCGATTTGATTGTTTTGAGCTATGCTCGGGATCAATTTTCCTTTAAATTTGGCTTTATTTCTCTACAACATATTATATTAAATGTAATATTATTTTATATTGGGTTGTCCAGTTATGAATGCGTGTTTTTACTATTTTGTAAATTTCTCAAGATATCGAACAGATGTATATGAGTGTTATATATCATTCGAGAGCTGAATATCTCCTCTACATTTTGATATAAAAACCTTTGGAATTTGTTTAGCTTTTGGGCAAATTGACTGCACAAAGGGAGAGGTCGTTTTCGAAAAAATTCATTCCAGCTTAGCTATTCCTCAAGTTTTATGGTGTAAAATAACCGCCCAGAAAAGAAAAGAAAAGTAAAGATACTCTGAAATTGTTATATTTAAAAAAAGTTGTATTGATATATCTATTGACCAAACATCAAACGGTTAACTCAATTTGAGCGGAGCCAAAACTTGATCCAAAGGCACCCTTCCATTTTTTGACCACCTCTTCTTCTGTGCAGTCAATTTACCCAAAAAAATGGGTAAATTCAAGAACTTTTTATATCAAAATGTAGAGGAGATCTTCAGCTTTCGAATAATACCCATATAAATCTTTTTCTTGATTTCGGTATCTTGAGAAATCTACCAAATAGTAAAAAACGCGCATTCATAACTGGACAACCCAATATATTATAATATTTTATCATTATCAGTAGATCAAAATCAATATTTCTTGAAAAGAAAAAGGAAAAATTGTGGAATTGTGGAAGGGAAAAACGAAAAGTCGAATCAAATTCTCTCTGTAAATAGGCGAAATCGGGAAACAGAATCATCAAGAAACAAACATTGGAAATGATGTAGAAAAAGAAGTTTTGAAGTTCTGAAGATCTGAAGATCTGAAGATCTGAAGATCTGAAGATTTGAAGTTCGGAAAAGCCGTTGAATTTGCCGTTGTAAAGCCGTTGAATTTAGCAAAGAATTGAAATGGGATAGATTTGTACGGGATTTCTTTTCTTTTCTGGATTCAAAGCGTCGAATCAGAGAGAAACTGGACTTAATTGTGGGTTTTTTATTTGGATTTCGACGAGAAATGGGATGAGAATGGGGAAAGAAAGGAAAGATATCGAGAAATTGTTGAAAGACTGATGATGGGTGGATTGGATGGCAATCAAAAAAAGAAATTGATTCGGTTGTACACTGCTCCAACTAATTATAGAGCCAATTACGTTTTTTTTAAAACTCAGTACTAAGAGAAATCTGAAACGCGACTGAGAGAAATCTGAAATTCAGCCAGTAGAAAATCTTTGTACTAAGCTTTTCTGTGCAGTTTTATTTAGAAGTTGCTAATTGTCGTGGCGCTTTGTCTGCAAAAGTCAATCTAGAAGCTAGAAGTCTAGAAGGCAAAAGTCAATATAGAAGCCAAAGCTGAACTTCATTGATTTCTCTCAGTCGCTACTGAGTTTTAAAAAACGGCTCTAAAATTAGTTGGAGCAGTGTACATTGTTGCTTTCCGGAATCCGATACTAGAATGCAAGATTCCACAACGTTGATCTATAGTCTACACACCGTCAATCGATTCTTTAACCCCGAAAACCCCGGGACACAAATTTTTACCTTCAAATCTCTTCTAGAAGTTATTTTCAGATCAAAGAAAGTTCTTTGTGCGGGTGTCTGGCTGGTGTTCTTTGTGCAGCCGTAATCGCTCGCCGTTTGGCCAACGACTTCCCAATATAGCTAGCAAAGTCGTTTCTGATTTGGGTTGAGTCCCTATGAGTCAATCTGGTAACAAATCCAGTTATTAGGTTCAGGAAAAAGTCCTGCTGAGAAAAATTCAGTTTTTATGCGCACTTTAATAACAAAAATAACAACAATTACCGTATTTATTCTAAAAGAAGCTCATGTGCTTCCATGCTTCTATTCTAATAGAAGCACATTTGCTTCTATTAGAATAAATACGGTATTTCTCAAATTATAACGAGCTTTTCGTAAATGCAAGCCAACTGCTCTGTTGGCAATAGAGCTCGGCATTGATGGCACGACCATTCGGAACCAACTCAAAGTGCAAGACTCTCTTTCGTAGCTGAGTCAGAACTTTTTCCTCAACCTAATATAAGCCTCATAGGGGTAGCACAATCCCACAAGTGGATTTTTAATCAGCCAATTTGATCAGCCAATTTGATCAGCCAATTGCTAATTTGACAATGGTCAGCCAATTTTGGCTTAGCGTTTGTTAGTATACTCTGCTGACCAACCTTGCATCCCAAACACCTTGAATGGTGCGTAAACTGCTGGCGGGAATTTTTTTGATTCATCCCAAGGACTTTATCAGCAAAGAACCGTAAGGTCAACAAAGAACCATCAATACAAAGTGAAACTTTGCAAGTTTACTGTAGAATGTCAAAAAGTTTGTACTAGGATTGTCCGCTTAAACCGCTTAAACGATTAAACGCTTAAACAAAACGGACTTGTAGCGATCAAAACTAGATTTATAAGTGTTAAAACTGATAGAACTTGTGAAATTCTTAACTTTAAGAAATAAATTCCGGTTAGTTATCAAAATTTCTAATCAAAGACATAAACAAAGTTTTTCATTTTTTGAAAAGAAAATTGTGAGTCAGCTCATCGAAAGAGCCAAGGAAAAGCCGAGTTTTTGATTGGAATGTCAACTCAAAAGTACAACAGCTTTCTTTTCCGAAATGAAATGGGAAAAGATGAAAACATTCTCTTTTTCTTAAGCCAAAAGATAAACAAATAAAATTGAAAACATGTATTTCTCTTTCTTGTCAATAAAATGGTTTGAACTCACCGGTACACCTTCATAGCCGGATGGGGGAACGTAACGGACCTGGAAATGGGTTATGTTGATTGATCTGGGGAAATGTTTAGCTAAAAAAGGTTAGTTTCTTTTACAAATAGCTGGGCTGGTTGTTGGGCTTTATCATCTTCTGTAGAACTATCTCTATCTGAAGCTCTGGACCTCTATCTCTAGCTGAAGCTCTGAAGCTCGATCTCTATCTGAAGCACTGAAGCTCTATCTCTATCTGAAGTTCTGAAGCTCTATCTCTAGCTGAAGCTCGATCTCTATCTGAAGCTTTATCTCGACCTCTAGCTAAAGCTCTATCTCTAGCTGAAGCTTTATCTCTATCTGAAGCACTAAAGCTCGATCTCTATCTGAAGCTCTATCTCCATCTGAAGCTTTATCTCGACCTCTAGCTAAAGCTCTATCTCTAGCTGAAGCTTTATCTCTATCTGAAGCACTAAAGCTCGATCTCTATCTGAAGCTCTATCTCTATCTCTAGCTAAAGCTTTGAAGCTCTATCTCTATCTAAAGCTCTGAAGCTCTATCTCTATCTGAAGTTCTGAAGCTCTATCTCTAGCTGAAGCTCTATCTCTAGCTGAAGCTCGATCTCTATCTGAAGCTCTATCTCTAGCTGAAGCTCTATCTCTAGCTGAAGCTCTATCTCTAGCTGAAGCTCTATCTCTATCTGAAGCTCTATCTCTAGCTGAAGCTCTATCTCTAGCTGAAGCTCTATCTCTAGCTGAAGCTCTATCTCTATCTGAAGCTCTATCTCTAGCTGAAGCTCTATCTCTATCTGAAGCTCTATCTCTAGCTGAAGCTCTATCTCTAGCTGAAGCTCTATCTCTAGCTGAAGCTCTATCTCTATCTGAAGCTCTATCTCTATCTGAAGCTCTATCTCTATCTCTATCTCAGCTCTGAAGCTATGAAGCTCTATCTAGAGAAGAGTGTCAACTTAAGGTGAGATATCTAAAGATCTATATATCTAAAGAGTTTTCTGAATCCGCAGCCAAAACCTGGCCCAATAGCTCTTTCAGGTTCAACAGCTTTCTAGATCTACAAGCTATATTTCATTGAAGATTCGGGGTCTCATTCAAAACTACAGAAATGAGAAATTCCTAGTGAGTTTAAACTAAAAGCTTTCTTGAACTTTCTAGGGCTTTTTTTTGATTAATCAGCGAACACTTTGTCTTAGTTTTGGTAACAATTTGTTCTACTAAAAATGATAAATTCACCAATTAACCTACAGAAGATGCTCTAAACTCTAAACAGAAGATGTTTAGCATTCACTTTTCTATCATTTCAAACAAATTTTGGTCTGTTTCCAAGTAAATTCGAGTGGAAAACCTAGTTTTTCGTAAAATTCGATAAAAAGCTCTAGAAAGAAATCGGCTGAACAGATTATCCTGAAAACTTGGCTATATACCTAACTTTTTACGCTCTATCTTTTATCTATTGACATAAAGATAGGTTTCTGTGGATCAAAGCGTCTAAATTGCGTCTTCGGATTGTCTTTTTTGGCCTTTTTTGACTACCCAACTTCACGCCTTCATAAAAAACCATAAACAAAACATTTTCATAAGATTCAAACGTTATTTTGTAGAAAAATAGTAGGCCTTTCTAATGGAGGTTTATAATGGATTGAAAGTCTTTCTAATGGATTGAAAGTCTTTCTAATTGACTTTCAATTGTAGGTTAATTGGCAAATTTGTCATTTATAAACGCTAGTATAACAAAGTGTTACCAAGAGTTATCGGCCAACCTAATCGTTTCTTAAATAAAGCTTTTACAGTCGATAATCTCTATTTCATTCCAAAGTTCACTCACTTTCTTGAGATACACCGCATAGATGGCATCCGGGTGACGTTCATCGCCCCAATATTTTGACATCGCCATCGCTGAACCGCTCAGCAAAAAGTAAACAGAAATTTGAGCAGAGTCAGTTTAGCGAATCATATGAATCTGAAAGTGAACTTTAATTGAAAGTAATTGAGTAAAAGTAATTGAAAGTAATTGAGCCAAAGTAATTAAAAGTAAGTAAAAGTAATTTAAAGTAATTTAAAGTAAGTAATTTCAAGAAATTTAAATTTCCCAAATATCTTAGTTTTCAACAATTGAAATTTCAAATCAAAGTTTCAAAATGACCTAAAAGTTTTGTTTTTTATGTTTCTCGAAAACTGGATTTGTGGGGGGAAAAAACGAGGTTGGATTTGGATCGAAAATAAAGAGAATCGGGTTGAGAGCTTGTTGCAAATCGTAAACCATTGGAAAGAGGGGGAAAAGGGGAAAAGAGCAGAATTTTTCTTTTAAGGGAAAGAGAATGAACTAATTCCTCAAATAATGGGAAAGATTCAATGGTATTTTGTAATAAATTTAGCTAAATTTGGCTAAATTTGGCTAAATTTGAACATTCAACAAGAAAACAATTGAAATAATGAGGTTTTTAAGAGAACAGAAGTCTAAAACAGAACAGAACTAAAACTAAAACCATATTTAATCAAAATAGGAACCGTATTAGAACCGTATTAGAACCGTATTGGAACCGTATTGGAACCGTATTAGAACCGTCTTGGAACCGTATTGGAAACGTATTAGAACCGTATTGGAACCGTATTAGAACCGTCTTGGAACCGTATTGGAACCGTATTAGAACCGTATTGGAACGTATTGGAACCGTATTAGAACCGTATTGGAACCGTCTTGGAACCGTATTGAATCAGAATAGGAACCGTATTGGAATCGTATTAGGAACCGTATTGGAACCGTATTAGAACCGTATTAGAACCGTATTGGAACCGTATTAGAACCGTATTGGAACCGTCTTGGAACCGTATTGGAACCGTATTTAATCAAAATAGGAACCGTATTAGAACCGTATTGGAACCATATTTATTGGAACCATATTTAATCGAAAACGATTCAATTCTTGAATTCTATAAGTACATTTTTATTTTTTAGCAAATATACAAGTTATTTAAGTTCTAGATTTGAAAAATTGGTCAAAATACTATTCAGTTTTTTAGTCATAAAGATCATAAAGAAAAAAATAAATAAAGCAAAAGCTTTACAGACTTTCTCAATGATTTCTATTCAATAGTCAAGGCCAGATCTTCACAGAAACCAAGCTAAAACAATAATAAGTTAAAAAGTAACAAATAAACAATAAATAAACATTAAAATAATAAAGTTACAGTAAAAATCAAGGCTGAATTTGCATATGGTAGCTCAAAAGTCTAATCTTGATACAAAAGCGACTTAAAAACCTAGACTTCTACAAGTTCTTGTAGAAGAATTCTTGCAGAATATGTTTCTCTAAGAGAATGGACAATTCGAGTGCTTCCAGCTGACACCACAAAGGGGTATAAGTGTGAAAAGCTCATCGAATTTGTGAGGGAAATGGCAGAGAGTCGGGGTCGAAGGTGGGAGAAAAGAAGAGAAAAGAAGAGCGATCGGGTTACAGTGACGATTTTCTCAATTCCGTGCCTCTCCACGCAATTATTCCAACACTATGGATTGAAAGTTAACTAGAAAATTGTATCATTATTGTTTTTGTTTTCAACTTGTTTGAATAGCCTTTAGCTTTTAGCTGAAGAGGGTAGGTCAAAGGTCTAATCTTGATACAAAAGTGACTCAAAAATCTAGACTTCTTACAGAATTCTTGCAGAATATGTTTCTCTAAGAGAATAGACACTTCGAGTGCTTCCAGCTGACACTACAAAGTGTGAAAAGCTTCTTTAGTAGTTCTTTGGTCTACTCGAAATGAGAAGATTTTAGTGTTGTAATTTTTAGTCACTGTTAGGCCATTGTTTGGCCATTTTTGGCCATTGTTAGGCCATTTTTGGTCATTGTTAAGCCATTTTGGCCATTGTTTGGCCATTTTTGGCCATTGTTAGGCCATTTTTGGCCATTGGCCATTCTTTGTTAAGCCTTTTTAAGCAGCTAGATTTAGGTCACAGTCACAATCACAGTCAAATAACAGTCATATCTTAGAATAACAAATTGTGAACTGATGAACTGATGAAAATGAACTTAGAATGCCTGAACAGCAGAACTTCTAGGAATGGTTGGGTCTTCTTGCACGCGGCTCTGGATTTAGAGCCACATTTGGCAATTAAACCCAATGAAATATCCAAAAATAGAGCAGATTCCTAAAGAAAAAAGTACGAATTCGAATTCCTTGTCCCCAAAAATTCTGTGGTGCAAATTTCAGCCAAATTGGTCTCACAAAATGCCTAAATCCACCTATGGCTCACCGGTGGCACGGGTTAATCTCTAGGTAAATAAATACTGAAACTAGGTAAGTAAATAGGTAAATAAATACTCTAAACTCTAGGTAAATAAATACTGAAACTCCAGAACCATCTCCTCAAACACTTTCACCGCATTTCATCGGATCAGTTTCACACACAGTGATTTGCCCTCGTTTTGCTGCTTTTCATGCCATTCCATTCATTCCCCTCTTTCCCCTAAAATACCCGCAAAAAAGTGCAAAAAGCTGCCCCTTTTTCCCCCTGAACTGTCTCGCCTGTTGTTGAATGTTTTGTGGCAATTGCGAGAACAATTAGTGCTAAAAGTAAAAGAGGAAAAAAAAGAAGTAAACAATAAGCATTCAATCTGGTTTTTTCGATATAAACATTTATGATACTGGTGATGATCATGTCAATCTTGGTTGACCTTTGGAAAGGTTAAGGGTCAAGAAGGAGATGAAGTATGATTGGGTTAATTTTAGAAGTAAAGCACAACTTTACGCTCTTTCCTATATTGATGATAAGGAATGAGATGATAAGGAACCAAATTTAGAGAGATAAGGGCACCTTTTCAGGAGACATACTTGAGATTTACGTGCTGAAAAATCAGAACGATTGACTGACTGATCGATTGAAAAAATCAGAACCAATTTTGTCCAAATTTTGTCCAATTTTTTTCCTCTCAAGTCTTGAATTAATCAATTTCCTATCTTGAATCTATTGAGATATAGGATATGGGATTTAGGGACGAATTTATGCAAGTTTAGGCACGCTGTTCCTAACTGGGAAATCAGCAAAGTTGGAACCGTATTGGATCAAAATAGGACCCGTACTGGAACCGTATTGGAACCGTATTAGATCAAAATAGGAACCGTATTGGAACCGAATTGCAACCGTATTAGATCAAAATAGGAACCGTATTAGATCAGAGTTGTGAACATGGAAACAAAATCAAAAAAAACCCTTAAAATTGTTGAACGATTCAAATATCACATAAATTTAAAAATATCGTATGATAGAATTACTTTTGAATGACTATAGTATGATAGAATTACTCTCAATGCTTTTTAAATGCTTTTTGAATCACTACCAAACTCATGTGGGTTTGTTTACTTTTACTCACCGAACCCCGAAACTCAAAAAGTAGTCTTTAGAGAAATATTTTCAATATTTCAGTAGGATAAACATTGAAAGGCATTGAGAATTTCACGTTCCTAAACCAGAGATTCAAAAAAAAGAGATGATCAAGAGGCTCTATAAACTTTTTTTGCTCCAGCTTTTATTAGTTCTCCCGATTTTATGGAGGATTTCCCTTTCATGATGCTATCAAACGTTTAAAAAGAAAAGAAAACAGTTTTCAAAAGAATCTACTGTAAATATCGATGACATTTTGTCACTTTTGCCGTAAAACGTTCAAAAGTATTATGGTAATTTATTTAAATCCATGCCAGAGTGGCTTCTCTGAAAACAGTTTTGGGTAAAAACGTTATGTTTTCAGTTAAATTCAAGTGGCTAAAGAAGCAAGGTTGGAGAAATTGAAGATAAAAGGATTAAGATCAAGGCTAAACCATGGTTACTCGTAGAAATCAGAAGCTAAACACGAATGGAAGATAACGGTTATCTTCCAAAGAATGGAAGATAACGGCTATTTCAAACCCTGACTAAGTCAGGCCAAGTCAGAAGCCAGGTTTAAGACTTTTGTGGCCCAGTCTATCGTTTAAATCTGGCCCTAGACTTGCCTGATCTGGAATTTGAAACAACTTGCATGGTAAGATAGAGAATAGATGTTATACAGTAGTTGAAGAAGTTGAAGAAGAGTTGAAGAGATGTTTCCAGGATCAACCATAGCTCAAAAACGTCAAGCCTTATGCATGTGTGCATTTGGTTGCGTGCAAGCGTGTGTGTGTGTCTGTCTTTTCTCTTTTCTGTGGCTCATCGAGTCGTATGCAAATCTCTCTGAAGAGGCTTGACGAAACACGGGAAATGAATGAAGAAAAGAGGAGGTGAAAGCAACGATCCAAGAAATGAAATGGAAAAGATTGAAAGAGAAAAGGAAAAGAAGGACCGGATCACTCTCTCTTTCACATTCATTCATGTGAAAGGGAAAGATGGATAAGAGAGATCAAGAAAAGTGATCAAGTCGATGAATAATCCGATCATTGAGGTGTCAACGAGAAACGGGGAAAGAAGGCTAGGCAAAACATCCGGATTTTTTGAAAAAATAGATGTAGATAAAAGCAAAGGAAAGTGGTTTGAACAGCGAAAAGTCTCCCAGTTAATTATCAGACAAAGAATTAAAGATTTAAACTTAAGAACCTTAAGAATCTGTGAACAAAAACAAGTTCAAAACAAGTTCAAAAGTATAGCTGAAAGTTGTGAATAAGGTGGAAATTTCAACTCCAGATTTTGGGCAGTTGGATGCAATTTGATTGACTGGATTAATTAGATAAGTTGCCAGATTTAAACTAGGCACAAAGTTGAATAAGCTACTGTAAGCAAAGCAATGCTGCTTTACTTGTCTTCAGCTAATTGAGAAAAGACAATTAGACCCGGACAATTAGATTAGATTGCATTGTTTTGACGTTTGACATTGGTTTAGCATCGAAAATAATTCAATCTGGATCGCTCAAGCTTTCCAAGAGTGTAGAT